TGCCATTTCTAATGTATGCTATTTCTATTGTATACCATTTCTAATTGTCGCGAATCATAAGACCACCGGTCTTATATTCCACGATGGTTCGGAAACAAAACGCTTACAGTCATTGATCAACGTTTATTTCAACAAAACACGTGTTATCATTACCACTCGAACTCAATACATGAGCCATACGCCATACATGAGCCGAGCGAGCGCGATACATCAACAACAAAGTTCTAAAAGCTACTAAATATAACGTCGATTCTTCGCAGGTCCCCACCTAACAATAAAGCGCTGACGCCCCTACTCGGTAGGCAACCCAATTGACAAATAAATACGAATTCTCAACATTCTCCCACCTGAGACACATTCAAATAACATAGGTCATGTGTCTCACAAAACAACATTCTAAATTAAAACTATAACTTAAACTACTTCAGTCTTGTAATCTTTTCGGGATTTTCGTCAGGCGACCACTACGCGTAACAACAACTTTCGTTGCGGGTTCTCTGCTTTTACACACTCCCGCACTTTCCCGCACAGTCTTGCACACCAGTTCTTCCCCATCGTCACCTTTGATGTTTCTCGTCTCCGGTGAAGTCTCGCTGATGTTGTCCACCTGATCAGCACTCTCGATTTAACTCGGATTACGCCATTTTCATCTCTAAAGGATTGAAGATTTCTCCAACGTTTGTCATTCTCGTCCAATGAATCTCGCTGCACCCGCTTCACCACAAATGTCTCGGCTTTTCCAATTTCTTCTTCGGTGAGTGCGCCTTTACGTTTGTTGATGGGGTTTCGAGTATTGAATATGAACCGAAGTATCCAAGCAATCATGCGCCGTGTTTTCAGATATTTGGAAAAATAGGTTAAATGCAATTCATCCTCATTCATATGATCACCAGTGTTAAGCAAGGACGACGTAATCTTCTTCTTTTTCTCTCTATTTATCTCAAGTTCGTCGTACTGCATGCCCTCGTGTTCGGGCCATGATTTTGGGTCCCCGTACAACCAACGCGGTCCCTCCCACCATCCAGAGTGTAGCAAAAACTTAACACCGCAACCTCGGGACGGTAGATCTGCGGGGTTTAAAATTCCCGGCACAAAGCGCCACTTGTCGCTGTGTGTTGTTCTTCGAATCTCTGCCACTCTGTTATGGACAAAAGTTCCCCAATCTTCATTACGATGTATCCAGGATATCACAGTGGTAGAATCGCTCCAAAAGTAATTGTCTGCCTCCACTGCTAAGCCATCCCTAACTGATCCATACAGTCTAGCACCGACAACGGCTGCCAAAAGTTCCAAACGAGGTATGGTTATTTTCTTTAAGGGCGATATCCGGCTTTTCGCTGCTAACAGACGTATGAAAACCTTGCCTTCATAAACACCTCTCAGGAAAATCACTGCAGCATATGCATTCTGACTAGCATCGCAGAATGTATGGACACTCAGCTGTTCTGCCTCACCGGGGCCGGAACGTACCCATCTAGGTATTTCAATTGTTCTCAAGTCATTCAGCTCCTTCACCCAATTGCGAAAAGTTTCCTCTATCTCTAAGTCTACACTAACATCCCAACCAATCTTCTTCTCCCAGGTTTTTTGTAGCATTAGTTTTGGAAGTAATGTGGCTGGACAGGTAAAGCCGATCGGGTCAAATACTCTCTGGGCCAAGGACAGCATCACACGTTTGGTAATAGGTTCCTGTAATAGTTTCTCCAGGTCCTTCAAGAAATCTGTGTTAAGTTTCAACGTATCCAGTCTTTTATCCCATTCTAATCCGAGAAGAGGTGTATGCTTATAATCAGGTGAGCAAATCTGCCGAGAAAACTCCCACCCTCGCAAGTCAAACCTAGCCTCTTCCATAATCATGCTGGATTCTTCGATGAAACACCTTAATATTTGTTCGGTCTGCACACTTGCGATGCAGTTATCCACATAGAAACTTCTAGACAATCTCGACACGGTATCTCTTGAATAAGGTAGATTACCACCATCACATCTATCCAAGGACTTCGAAATATGGTGCTCTAGCGTAGCTCCTAGTAAAAATGGACTGCTGCTAACACCAAATACCACTCGTTTGTGTCGATAAGTTCTTATTTCATCTCCAGGGCCCCTCCATAGAAAACGAAGAAAATCCCTATCTCCTTTATCAACACCAATTTGCAGGAACGCCTTACGTATGTCTGCGGTCACTCCTATCTTGTTTTGCCTAAACCTGTGTAGCATGTTAGGAATCAGTTCAATCAGATTAGGCCCTGTTTCGAGACATTGATTCAAGGAGGGTCCGTTCTTTTCTTTGGCGGAGGCATCAAAGACAGGCCGGATTTTCGTGGTTGCGCTATCTTCCTTCACCACCGGTCTGTGTGGCAGGTAATGGGCCACGTTGGTTCGGCTATCTTCCAGAACTTCCTCTATAATCCCCTCGCTCAACCATTCCTGAAATATATTATCATAGGATTCCAAAAGACCATTAACTTCCAATTTATGGACTGTTTTGTCCAATCTTCTTCTAGCCATAGCGTAATTATCAGGCAGTGGCGGATGCGCCTCCAACCAAGGCAAGTTCACTTCATACCGCCCATCTTCGTTTATCTTCACCGTTTCGTTAAAGAAATCTCTTGCGGCTGAAACTACTTCTTGGCGTGACTTATGCTCTGTGGGATCAGTGATACCCAACACATCCAGCTGCCACAATCTAGTAATCGACGCGTCTCTAACAAATAGTGAGATTGAGGTCATGGTGGCACTTCTCGAGGTATTCAGGGGAATTCTGCCCATCAGAGTCCATCCATAAAGAGTCTCCACAGCCACCAATCCCGAGCTAAGAATGTGCCGTTTGCCGGTATACAACCTCCCCGCGACGTCTGATCCTATCAAGAGTTCAATGGGAGCTGGGTCGTACTTATCAGTCACATGAATACCCATTCTATCTAATTCTTGCATCCATGGGCCATCGAATACAGGAGCTATGTCCGTGCAAATCACCGATTGTGACAAGGCTTCGAATGAACATTTATAATTCTTATACATAGCCGTCACCTCGTAGCATTCATGGTTCTCCTGCGAGGTAGCACCGCCAAATAAACAGTGGATAATTTTCTCCCTTCTCTTCGACTGATATCCCAGTGCTAAAGCCGTCGATTTTAGGATGTAAGTGTTCTGTGATCCCGTATCGATTAGGGCTCTTACGTTACGTGAACCACCAACGCCGCATAATTTCACTCGGAGCGTTTGCAAAAATACGTGCGTATTGGTGCTGTTGGTGCATGTCAACGTTTCATTTACCGTCACGTCATGCGTTTTATCACCTTTCGCTGATTTGGACTTCTCAATGACGCGGTTTTCCTTTGGTAAGTCGGGGCACATCAATATCACGTGTGATTGGCTACAGACTAAACATCTCAAACGGGCTTTGCATTGTCGCGATTGATGTCCAATTCTTAAACACTTAAAACAAGCCTTTTTTCCGCTAAGAATCTCTTTCTTCTTTTCTAGCGTCAGCTTTTGTGCTTTGAAACAGTTGGCACTTTCATGTGTGTTCCCACAAAAAACGCACTTTTCTGCACCATGGTTGATCAATCCCGCAGCTGTAGAAATCCTATCCTGAGCCGTGGGGCGCAACCCAAAACCTTCGGCCGCCAATCTAGTCCGTTGATCGTTCTCCACTTCATTCTTCAAAAAACTCATTAGACTTGCCAACCTCTTCTCCAACCCTGTAACCGCTTGGGTGGAAGTCGCGGATTCTTCATGCGACGAACGCTGCCACACACTCAATAAATCTTGGGGTACGCATGACTCTATCAATGGGAAAATCATCGCAGCGCACTTATCAGAAGTTATGTCCAATGTCTCCAGTGCGATACAACATTGATAATTCCATTTTTTTCTCGTCGATGGCGTTGTGTACAACCAGTTTCAATAATTCTCTCACATACACCTCGACTTGCAAATCTTTTCGTCCAAACCTTGACGTCAAGGACTNGTATCGCTGGTTTGTTAGGTCCTCGACAATTACGATTTTCGATGCCTTAAGTTTTCTTTTATTTTGGAGTACCAAGCGACGATCTCTAAAACTGACAAATTTAACGATGATGTTTTGAGATCCATTTTTCACTTGCCCAATCGGATGACATCTATCGATTACCTCCCGCTTTATGTTAAGGCCCATTTTGTCGGTAAACATTTTTAAGACTCGATCTTCGACTTCCTCTGCTGGACATTTTTCCATCCCCAAGATTCTAATATTTGTGCGGCGCGAATATTGTTCCAACGCGTCATTTTTCTCGGATAACGTTATTATATTATTTATATTATTATATCATTATCAGATTATGTATCTTAATCGTTTGTTAATAAAAAAGAGGGATGTCGGGTGTTAGTTGTAGGAGGTCGCGCCACCTATGCGTGGGCTTTAGAAATAGAATAGACAATGTTTAATACTTCGTTAATTTAATTAAACTTCAACACCGTTACTTATNTAACCATTTCTTATATTCCAGAAAAATCGAGTTTCTTCAAACATAAGCAAATGTCGGCCTGTTCGTTGACTACTTTAGTAAATTTGTGGAATTTCAACCATTGACCGGGGAAGACACTGAAAGTGTGATAATAGCTCTAAAATCTGTTTTTGCTCGCTTTGGAATCCCGAGAATTTTATACAGTGACAATGGTCCACAGTAGAACAATTACAAATTTAAAGATTTTTGTAAGAAATGGAAGTTTGACCATAAAACTTCTAGTCCGCATTACCCACAAAGCAACGGTTTGGTTGAACGATACATACAGATGATCAAAAAAATGTTAAAGAAGACAGAAGAGAGTGGCTGTGAGCCGTATATTGCATTGATGGAGAATCGGAATACGCCTATTGATGGGAATATTAACAAATCGCCAGCTGAGATAATGTTTGGAAGAAAAATAAATGCTTTCTTTCCAATCTTAGAGAATTTTAGAGTCAACAAGAGATATGATGAGGACAAGATAAAACTTCAAAAGGCACAGAACGCTTATAAGTACTATCATGATCGCAGCAATAATGTGTATTTGCCTGATTATTCTAAAGGAGAGATAGTATACGTTAAAGACAATAATCACAACATGACATCAGCTAAAATTATTGATAAGGCAGATAGAGCTTAATCTGTATAAAGCATCTACTGAAGAGACTCTGCCAAATTGTAAAGAGCCTGAAGATTTTGAAATAACACTAAATAGTGACAAATTAACGGATATGAAATCTAAGAATGAAGAATGTGAATCGAGTCCAATTAACCCTAATCCGATTAGTTCGAGATCCGGACGCATCCTTCGTAAGCCTGCATATTTATCAGATTATGCATCTTAATCGTTTGTTAATAAAAAAGAGGGATGTCAGGTGTTAGCTGTAGGAGGTCGCGCCACCTATGCGTGGGCTTTAGAAATAGAATAGACAATGTTTAATACTTCGTTAATTTAATTAAACTTCAACACCGTTACTTATTATATTTATATTTTTCACTATTATTACATTAATAATATTCATACAACTAATAACGTTCTTACTTCTTACTAACAATTATCATTATACTAACTTCTCATTAGCAATGCCCACTCTGATCTGTTGTGGATCTGTTACGCATGGTCTTGTTCTTACATTTTTATGCTGATGCCACCCTCTCATGTTACCAACCTCTTATTATAAAAAGTAACCATAATTCAAACACCCAACAGACAACCGTCAAGTATAGCATGAACTACGTCGTATAAAAGTTAGTTGGATTTAGTTAGTAATTAAGCTTGTGTTAAGAACAGTTTTTGAAATATATAATAAAGTAATCTAATATAGTGATGTTGATTTATTGAGAACAATATAACGTTACAGTGGCAGGTGTTTATCTTTTGCGGTGTCAGCATTTTTCTTATTGTTGTGGCGTGGTGGCGTGTGTTAACTGTATACATCGAGATACATATAATTTACTGGAGTACGTGCTCACGATATTCGCTTGGTCGAGCAAACGGTCCGATTCGCCAGCATGTTCCCCCACCCTATAACGGCAAGAAATACAAATAGTACTAACTAATGGCTATAATTCAGCATGAATTTATTCAATACACTGTTGGACATAATTCACGAGCACACCCTATATAATCTGAACGCGTGAAGATAAATCCATAATATTTGCGGAGCACAAAGGTTTACTGTAGACGAGTTTATTCAGGGAGTTTCGAGTTGTTCCGTCGCGGCATTGTTGACTGAGCCGCCCTTCCAAGTGGAACATTCCGTCGCTATGGAGACCGAAGTGGATGGAAAATACCGGTCGTTTTTAGTGTGGTGTGAGGAACCACATTGTTATCGTACTCTGTGCGCAATGGATGGGCGATCGCGTTACTTAAGCGAGTTTGAGCGAGGAATGTTTGTGGGTATGCACATTGAGGGTGTATCGTTCTGTGAAATTGCGCGTCGTCTCGAGCGGTCGTTATCGGCAGTGCAACGGGCATGGCGAGAATGGTCTGAGGTAGGACATAGGTACCTTCAGCCGCGGCCGGGACGGCCCTGCGCGTCCCCAGCACACGAGGATCGCGCTCTTGTGCTCAGCGCTTTAGCGTCGTGTGTGTCCTCCTCAAGACAACTTGGAGCTGTTTTGCCACCGGCATGGGAAGGCGCACTCACTACGCGAACTGTCCGCCGTACAGTTCGCGTAGTTTGGTAGATAGTGGACTGCGCGCGCGTCGTGCGATACAGCGGATTCCAGTAACACCCGAGCACCGCAGCATACGTCACGAGTGGGTCGACGCTAGGCATTAGTAGGTTGCCGAGTAGAGGGACATTTTGTTTTCCGACGAATCAAGATTCGAATTGAGCACCGGTGATGCGCGAATTTTAGTTCGTCGGAGACGTGGTGATCGTCTACTCGAGCAGTGTGTGCAAGAACGCCCTATCCACCGACAACCGAGCATTATGGTATGGGGTGCGATTACATATGGTGGACGTACACGTCTGCTGCGTGTATAGCAGACCATGACGGGTCAACGATACGTAGATGAGGTGCTACGGTCCGTTGTGCTTCCCTACGTTTGGCGGCTCCCAGGTCTGCTATACATGCACGACAACGTACGACAGCACATCGGGCGTGTTGTACAGACCTTTGTGGAAGAGCACCGTATACAAATGCTTCCATGGCTAGCTCGGTTTCCGCATCTGAATCCGATCGAACATGTTTGGGACATGACTGGTCGTGGACTTCTACGTTATCCTGCTTCCTCCGGCTAACGTTGAGGAGCTATGGAGGCGAGTTCAGGTGGCATGGTTGGCCATCCCTCTCGCTACAATACAGCGACTTATAGACTCCATGCCGCGTCGTGTAGCGACGGTATGCGAAGCTCACGGGGGATACTCTCGCTATTGATGTTTCTCCTCCCAGCAGAGTTGTGCCGCTCTCCATGTGAGAGTAAGTTACACTACTTTAGTACTACTTCCATACCAAATTTTATTGCGCTAGACACACGCGTTCAGGTTATACAGGGTGTGCTCGTGAATTATTTCCAACAGTGTATTTACTAAGTAATTCAAATAATGTTATTCAATAATGATGAAAAATACCAAATAATGCATATTTAAGTTATTATAGTTAGGACAAAAAGAAAATATACAATAAATATTACGTGTGTTACGTTGAAGCTTTTTGCCGTTTTGGGGTGGGGGAGGCCGGCTCGTTTTCTAGTTCAAAGCACGCACTCCAGTAAACATAGTATATCTCGATGACTGTATATATATCTGAGTATACTTCCCACACTACCTCGATAATAATTCCGAAAATTGATATCTTATCACCGTCCGTTTATGCAAACCCATTTCACATTTTATTAATTTTGATTATTTTCCTAATTAATCTTTGATTTTCCCCGTTTCCCATTTTGAAGCCGTTATATTAACTTCCGACCACGTTTCCTGATCAAATTATCAATAAATAAAAGTAATTAGTAAAGTTGCTGAATTACGAAAACATGTGCTCACCGAAAATTATTATTAAATAATTGAATACTACCGAAATTAACTAATTTTCAAACAAAATACGTCGAGCAACATGTTTCTATCAGAGCAGCCAATCGTTCGACGATCAGCAAGCTACCGTTGGACTACCGTACAGCGGCTATTTTTTATAATGCGGAATTAGAAATCGTAGAACGATCAAACCAATTTCAAATTAATGTTTGCATATATTGTTACAAAAGATTGTTCGCAATAAAATACAATAGTTAAATCGTAAACGCCTTTAGTGTCTCTTTGTACTATAACTATCGCTCGAATCGCCGCGAGATGCACAAACAACCACAGTCTCTGCAAGAATGCTTCTACGCCGGAGCCTGGAGCCGACCACGCTGCATCGTCCCCACCTCAGCTGGTACTCTTCTTTCTCCCTCTTTCCTACCGGTCTCTCGCTCGCCTGCTCTTGCTCTGACTTTAACGGCGTCCCCGACCGAATCGCATCGGCCCGTTCGACCTTGTCGGTACCATTCGGCCATGAATGAAGAAATAATGCCCTCATTATTACAGCTTATCAGCACCATTGCCAATTTCATCGCCAAGCTACCGCCAACACCAAACTTTTGAATTCCGCCAGAGAAGGCTCGCCCGGCAAGTACAACCCTTAACAACGTACCACTCTTCAATTAACTTTCCAGCAAATCAATTAAATCTACAGTATCTACTAATGAATCCCTTTCGCTGCCACTTTCACATTCACTCTCACCCTGCATGCTATGGTAACGTCGTAAGGAGTCAACCGCCACTACAGCTGAAAATCTTTTGTAGCCTCTTACACCTTTGATTGATTCAA